ATTGAGTGATGCTGGCTTCTTTTGGTTTAGGGGGTCGTGTATCAAACCATGCCTCGGTATCAGGATCGTATGTGAGTCCGTTCACATTCAGCGTGTCATTCTTAAAATGCACTGTATATTGATCTCTTTTGCCCTTGTATTTACGTAGCACAGGAAAAATCTTGCGTCGCCTAAGTTCAACATCTTGTGGGAAGTGCTCATTTATAAAATATTTGCTTTTCCTGGCATTTAATTTCACCCCTGCTTCACGTATTAGCTCCCTTTGTTCAAAAGTTTCAAAAGTCACTAAAATTGGACGTGTTCTGTGGTTTTTGACTATGTTGCCGTGACCCCTTACCGGACCTAGCCGTTGCGCTGTTTTGATTGCAATATGATCCGCTACAATGTCTCTTTTGAGATTTAGGTCATTGTCACGCTCTATGTTATTGTATATGAAACTGTGCACAGTTGACAGACAATTCTCATTCGGTTGATCCTGTGTTGGAACATATTCCTGTATACCTTGAATTACTAGATTGTTTTTTAACTCATTACAGCGGAATTCATTTAACTGACTCCGGAGAGCAATGGACATAGTTTTAAGTGCATAATTATTGACTGTCAGAACCTCGACATCAGAATTCAAATTTTTGTTTGTGTTCTCTGTATCTCGCATAAATTTAGAAAATGCCTGCTTGTGATTATGTAAATCGTCATGCGTATCACTCATGGATTGACAGGATGTTTCAACTTCCGTAAGTCTTTTTTTGATGTCTTTGTTTTCAATTTGTAAGCTTGTAAGCTGGTTTTGGACTTGAGCGACACTGCTTTCAATGGAGCTCAATTTTTGCATGCTAGTATTTGAGGCTTGTTCTATGGCAAATAGTCTGTTGTCCATTTTACGTATCATGTCTATCAATAAAGACGTGTTGGGATCATGCGGCAAAAAGCCAGGGGGGTAAGGTTGGAATAATGGACGAATACCTTGTGGAGAGTGTGTCACACTTGATCTGGTCTGCTGAGAGTTTTGAGGTATTGGTGTTCGTTGTTGGTTTAGTTGTTGATTACATGTGTCGGCCCCATCATTGATCAAGTTAGAGATGGCAAAGTCATTGTTCACAGAAGTAGCATTCTTGATGGTTACTCCACCCACTGCTCCTTTCGGTTTGTTTGTGATACATGTAGAATTTTTCTCCGACATTGTTTAAATACAGATTTGTCCAAACAATGAATGATAAAACACACTTTTTACTTTATTAAGACAAATAAATCCACCAAATTTTCACTATAGATATCAATATTCATTTTTTTTTTCTGATATTCACTTAACAAATTTGAAAAACCGCCATATTCGACCGGAGCCTCGTTTTTGTTCGTTTCACGCGGTCCCCGTTGTGATTACTATCAATTAAAGTGGATGCGAAAATGATATGACAACACGTGTTTGCACGTAAGCATATTCATACTTTATTTTGTCTCATTCGTATAAATGCATTTTTAAACATATATACAATAATTCACATAAAACCTACATAAGAACATTCCATTTAGGAATTTCAAGAGACATTATAATAATGAGAAACCCATTCAAGACCTATTACTGTTAGATTAGAATCAAACAGTATAATTACAATGTAATATATGAACAGAATGTAACCATCGCTAATCAAAAATTAAAAACTGCCCGAAAAAGATGTAAGGAATTGAGAACTGTAAATCGGAGCACTTACGCGCATTGTATAATTCATGTTTTTGCCAATTAAAGTTTATATATAGTTTACATAATTATTTTAATTTTTCATCTTAGCATATTAAATTTTATAAAAATGATAGTTACTATAGCTTATTACATACGTCTACAAACTGCAATATTATTATGAAATTCTATTTCAGCGCTATATTTAATATTCTTTAAGTCACTTTCGTCAGGCTCACAGTAAGCGAAAGGAAGATCGATGTCTGAGCTTGTGTATAAATATTATACAAATAAATGAAGATCAAATCATATTGATAAAAAAAACTAGTGTTGATAATATAAAAAACGCTATATTTGATAAACGCTATATTTGATATTTTTACAACCACTTTCGCTTCCACTTGCTAACATTGAAAATACAAAAGTGAGCGAAAGTAAGATCTCTGAAATTGGTATATAGAAATAATGAAAATGCATGAATATTAAATCATCATAATGATTTTTGTATTTTCTGATCGCAAGATCAGTAAATACATAGCTAACATCCACGGTCCAACACAAATTTTCCTAACAGACCTAACAACGCAAAGTAGTTCTCACTCAGAACTGCTTAAAAACCAGCAATTTAAAATAAGAATAATTTTTAATGTATGCATTTAACGAATTACAGTGCATTAAAAGTTTAGAGTAGTCAATAGAAATATGAGGTTACAATCACAAATTTCGCGAATGAATATCTTTTTTACCCAATGAAAAATGTTCGGCTATTTTCGTAAAGCTTAATCAATGAAAATGCTATTTTTAGCTATGTCGATTACCGTAGTACACAAATAAATCTGACTGTCGAGTAGTGGAATATATACATGTCGTACTGTTTTGGCGAGAAGATTTTCGCTAAATTATTTTCATCAGTGTTAAACAACAGGTTTATAGTGAAGAAAATACCTCGAAATTAGTAAGGATTACAAACACGGAATGGAAATTCTCAATTTAGAATCACAATGTATTTGTTATTATTCAAACTACATATGTATTACTTCACCGTGGTGCAGAGGTAGCGCGCTCGTTTAGGGTGTGAGAGGCCCAAGGTTCAAATCCTAGTCGAGGCAACTTTTTTTTTTTGAAGTGTCTTTTTTAAGGAAGTAGCCACGATATGCAAGGATAAAGTATGGCTGTCATACAAAATGAAAATAATTTTTTGATGCAACTCTAGTCATGCAAAATTCCATATGTATCAATCTCAAACTGTTATAGACGCAGTCGCTGCGTAAGATTAAGTATAGTATATAAAAATAAACTTATATAGGAAAATACATACAGATAGTCAGTATGATTTAGATTGCAAAGATCAGAAAATACCACAGAGGTTGCAGCCCTTTGATTTAAATATGTTTTATTCATTTCTGAAACTATGCGTCTACAAACTGTTATATCAATATAAATTCAAACTAAACGGTATATTTAATGTTTCGTATTTTTCAATACGAGCGAAAGGAAGATCTATATAGTTGTGTATATATATTATGCAAATAAATAGCAATTAAATCACTTTCGTATTTTCAATGTGAGCGAAAGGAAGATATAAGAACTTGTGTATTGAAATTATGCAAATTAGTAGAAACAAGATATGTTTGTAAAACATGTATGCCCCTATCGGCAGCCATTTAGTCATGTGATCACTTTATTATGCATGACTTCTGACCCAGTGAACAAACAATTAAATAAGGGTTTAATATCTAGTATCTACTGGTCATGACTAGTCACAAGGTAATAATTATTGTGACTCCATAGGTTGTGTGCAGCAATTTAAGTTATTACAAATCTTACCAAATAATATATGCATAAATTTTATGACTCATGTAGGCCTCATTAATGACAGCCAAGTTGTTATATTACATCAGACCTTCAAATGTGTATACCAAAAGCATTTTTAGTTTAATATAAAAATATCAACCAAGGCAACTTGAGTTGTTGAGTTATTGGTCAGAAACCGTCATTAAGTACAAGGTCAATATGACATTGACCCCTTGACCCCAAAATCAATATGGGTCATCTACTGATCATGACCAATCATCATACCAAGTTTGAAGTTCCTAGGCCTAAGCGTTCTTTAGTTATTGATCAGAAACCGTTTTTACCTACAAGGTCAATGTGACCTTGACCTTGGACCCCTTGAGCCCAAAATCAATAGGGGTCATCTACTGATCATGACCAATCACCATACCAAGTTTGAAGTTCCTAGGCCTAAGGGTTCTTTAGTTATTGATCGGAAACCATTTTTGCTTACAAGGTCAATGTGACCTTGACCTTTGACCCCAAAATCAATAGGGGTCATCTACTGATCATGACCAATCACCATACCAAGTTTGAAGTTCCTAGGCCTAAGTGTTCTTTAGTTATTGATCGGAAACCGTTTTTGCTTACAAAGTCAATGTGACCTTGACCTTTGACCCCAAAATCAATAGGGGTCATCTACTGGTCATGACCAATCACCATACCAAGTTTGAAGTTCCTAGGCCTAAGGGTTCTCTAGTTATCACTCGGAAACCATTTGGTCTACGGACCGACGGACCGACAAGTGCAAAGCAATATACCCCCTCTTCTTCGAAGTGGGGGCATAATTATTTCATCATTATGATTATTTCTGTTAATAAATATAATTATTTTCTAATAATATACGTCTACAAACTGAAATTTTATTGTAAAAGTCTATTAAAACGTTATAATTTATATTTTAAAAGTCACTTTCGCTCACTTTCGTCAAAAATCTCACTTTCGTATTTTAGGCATACCGGTTTGTGACTGTATATAAAGCTGTCCTGAAACCATCATTTTTGTGATGGTGGATGAGCAGTGGCTATGCTTTCATGACTGTTCTGCTAGGCGCTGTGCCGTAATTGGACTGGCATATCGATGTGGTGGTTTGTGTGTATATATTCTCTCATTTCTATAAATTACTCATACATAGAGTTGGATGGTGGTATTGGGTAGTTTTCAACGCTTTGTCTACTGACCTAACCGGACGACTCAAAATTAGCCGATCATAGCGCATTCTAATTTAATATACCCGACAGACAGTAACTGGAATGAGTGTAATTAATACATGCACTCCAGTAAACGCACTGTGCATGTATGGATATACGATTTAAATCCGACACGTTTCAAAATGAAGTCTCCAAACTATGACATAACTGATATTACTACAGAATCACTTTTGATTCCACTAAGTTAAAGGTTAAAGAATTTTTTTATTCATTTTTTTTACTTTTGATTTTGTGTTTGTTTTTGTTTAGTCATTAATACGTTATTTTTAATTACATTTCAGAGTTTGTTGCTTTCATGATGCAAGAGAGTGAGTAAACTACAACAATTATAGAAGCGTCTCCCTTCATCTTAATCATGCATTTTAGAAACAAAATTCACAAATCACCGTGGGAATTAAGGAAAAGTGCATCCTGGATTTTTATGAAAAGGGAAACAAACTATCTGTTGCTTATATTATATGTTATTTCATTTAAATGTAACTGAATAGTTCTTCTGAGCAGAACAGGATAAAATATTTCATACCAACAAAAATATAGATTGTTCAGTTGAAATGTTTTATATGATAAAGTGTGCAACTGCTGCAAGGAATTGTACATCGGCAAAACAGGCAAGACTCAAAAACAGAAGAACTGTTCATTCCACAGATCTCTGGCGTCTTACACACACACCCCTATATATGTAACTAGAAATTGTCACAAGTGCCGAATATCCCCCACATACGAATATCCCCGACATGCGGTTGTCAGTAGCCATGCTTTTTAGTTAATAATTTTACACATAGGAAGAATGCAGTAGTTTATATTTTTTTCAAATGTTTTTGAATTATTTGTCCTACATCAATGAGAGGAATTAAAGTTTGGATTTGGAGCTTTCATGAATTCTTTTAAGTGTCATCGTTCCTTCTCCCTGAAATTTTTGCACTTCTACTCACTGAGATCTATCTACCTACACAGTTTAAAGTTGATAATTTTATAGTCCTCAAGCTATGGGCAGGGTAAAATTCAAATTCAAAAAAAATGAACAAAGGGCAATAACTCCAAAATAAGGGAGAAAGGGGAGGGGGTCTTCTGCACTTTTACTCATCTGCCTACAAAGTTTAAAGTTCTCGAGCTATGCACCAGACAAAGTTCAAAGTGTAACAAGAAATGTGTCCATAGGACACCGGTGCCCCATGTTCCACTGTTTGACTGCAGGTCAAATGTTTTTAGGCTACATGTCACACAAGTTGAAAACTGAAAATCTTTTACTAAGTCAATGACAAAAATCTACAAATACTGAATAAATCCACAAGCAAAGCCCAAGGTGCATAACTACACTAGATGCTGACCAACATTCTTGTATTCTTTCAGGACTACAGGTCTAATACTTTTTGAGCTATGCATGAACAAGTCTTTAATTTATACTGAGTCAAGTGCAATAACTCTAATAAAACTGGAAACAAGAACGTGTTTGTTAAACACAAATGCCCCCGGCTCAGATTTTTGTCAGTAGCAATATTTCAAACAAGAGGGCCATGATGTCGCTCACCTGTATATAGGCCCCCAACCCCCACCCCCCAACGTTGCAGGGCCAATTTAACCCAAGGGCTTTTATTTGCACAAACTTGGTAGACACCCATAAGAAGATGTTTCATGCTAAACATCTAAGCTCTAGCTCATTGGGCTTTTTAAAAGAAGATTTTTTTTAAAGTCTTTACTATACACATATAGTTAAAAACAATGACACCCCTGGGGCCGGCCAGGGCTTTTATTTGAACAAACTTGGTAGACACTTACTAGAAGATGTTTCATGCTTAATATCTAAACTCTAGCTATTTGGGTTTTTTCAAAGAAGATTTTAAGTTTTTGCTATACACATATATAGAAAATCGATGACCCCCGGGGCGGGGCCAATTTTGACCCAAGGTCTTTTATTTGAACAAACTTTGTAGACACTCACTAAAAAATGTTTCATGCTTCATATCTTAACTCTAGCTATTTGGGTTATTTCAAAGAAGATCTTTTAAGTTTTTGCTATACACATATAAGGAAAATCAATGACCCCCGGGGCGGTGCCAATTTTGACCCCAGGGCTTTTATTTGAACAAACTTGGTAGACACTTATTAGAACATGTTTCATGCTAAATATCTTAGCCATAGCTCTTTGAGTTCTTTAAAAGAAGATTTTTTAAGTTTTTACTATATGCATATAGGGAAAATCAATGACCCCCCGGGGCGGGGCCAATTTTGACCCCAGGGCTTTTATTTGAACAAACTTGGTAGACACTTATTAGAACATGTTTCATGCTAAATATCTTAGCCATAGCTCTTTGAGTTCTTTAAAAGAAGATTTTTTAAGTTTTTACTATATGCATATAGGGAAAATCAATGACCCCCCGGGGCGGGGCCAATTTTGACCCCAGGGCTTTTATTTGAACAAACTTGGTAGACACCTATTAGAACATGTTTCATGCTAAATATCTTAGCTCTAACTCTTTTGGTTCTTTAAAAGAAGATTTTTTAAGTTTTTATTATATGCATATAGGGAAAATCAATGACCCCCTGGGGCGGGGCCAATTTTGACCCCAGGGCTTTTATTTGAAAATACTTGGTAGACACCCAGTAGAACATATTTCATGCTAAATATCTTAGCTCTAGCTCTTTGGGTTCTTTAAAAGAAGATTTTTTAAGTTTTTACTATATGCATATAGGGAAAATCAATGACCCCCCGGGGCGGGGCCAATTTTGACCCCAGGGCTTTTATTTGAACAAACTTGGTAGACACTCACTAGAAGATGTTTCATGCTAAATATCTAAGCTCTAGCTCTTATGGTTTTTTAAAAGAAGATATTTAAAGTTTTTTCTTTCGGTTGCCATGGCAACCAGAGTTCTGCATGGAATTAAATTCTTTGAACAATTATTAAAGGTGACCACCAAAGGAACATTCCTGTGAAGTTTGGATGAAATTGGCTTAGTGGTTTATGAGGAGATGTCATTTAAAGTAAAAGTTTACGGACGGACGGACGGACGCCGGACGAAAAGCGATCACAAAAGCTCACCCTGTCACTTTGTGACAGGTGAGCTTAAAATGTTTACCCATTCACTCAGTTATGGACAGAAAAATTGCCAAACAATTGTAAACACAAGTTATATAGCTTGACAAAGTCATGGCATTTCGTAATTGTGAAAAATATAAGTTGCCAAGTCATTGCTCTGACTTGTGAGGTTGAAAAATATTCAACTTCATGCAAGTTATCTAACTACCAAATATGAAATACATCTGTCATTAAATAAAGGCTGTATGGGCAAAAGTGTAAAAATCTATTTTGAGCACTGGTGACCGTGACCAAACTGACCCCTAACTCTATCCAAAAGAAGAATACCATGTAAGTTATCTTCCTACCAAATATGAAATACATCTGTCAATAAATAAAGGCTGTATGGGCAAAAGTGTAAAAATCTATTTTTAGCACAAGTGACCTTGACCTGATCCCTACCCCAATCAAAAGGATGAATACCATGCAAGTTATCTTCCTACCAAATATAAAATATATCTGTCACTTAATAAAGGCTGTATGAGCAAATGTGTAAAAATCTATTTTTAGCACTGTTGACCCAACTGACCACTAACTCCATCAAAGTTTATGTTTCTATCAATTATAAATAACACCTGTCTATAGAATAAAGTCAATACACCTGTAAAAATGTAAAAATCTATTTTTAACATTGGTGACCTTGACATTGCTAACATTGACCTCGACCCAAATGACCCCTTACTACACCCAAAGAAGGAGGACCTCCCTTGGCATGTTTGTCTTAAACTAAGACATCAACTAAACAGGAGGGCCATGATGGCCCTGAAGTCGCTCACCTGTACATAGGCGCCCTGAGCGGGGCCAGTTTAAAGCCCGGGGCTTTTATTTGAACAAACTTGGTAGACAACCATTAGAAGATGTTTCATGCTAAACATCTAAGGTCTAGCTCGTTGGGATTTTTAAAAGAAGATTTTTTCAAGTTTTTTCTTTACACATATAGTTAAAAACAATGACACACCTGGGGCAGGGCCAGTTTTGACCACAGGGCTTTTATTCTAACAATCTTTGTAGACACTTACTAGAAAATGTTTCATGCTTAATATCTAACTTCTAGCTATTCGGGTTTTTTCAAAGAAGATTTTTAAGTTTTTGCTATACTCGTATAAGGAAAATCAATGTCCCCCGGGGCGGGGCCAATTTTGACTCCAGGGCTTTTATTTGAACAAACTTTGAAGACACTCACTAGAAGATGCTTCGTGCTTAATATCTAAACTCTAGCTATTTGAGTTTTTTCAAGGAAGATTTTTCAATTTTTGCTATAGTTTTACACATATAGGGAAAATGAATGACCTCCAGGTGGGGCCAATTTTGACCCCACGGCTTTTATTTGAACAAACTTTGTAGACAATCACTAGAAGATGTTTCATGCTTAATATCTAAACTCTAGCTATTTGGTTTTTTCCAGAGAAGATTTTTTAAGTTTTTCCTATACACTTATAAGGAAATTTGGAAAATCAATGACCCCCAGGTCCGGGCCAATTTTGACCCCAGGGCTCTTATTTGAACAAACTTGGTAGACATCCATTAGAAGATGTTTCATGCTAAATATCTTAGCTCTAGCTCTTTTGGTTCTTTATAAGAAGATTTTTAAGTTTTTACTATATGCATATGGGGAAAATCAATGACCCCCTGGGGCAGGGCAAATTTTGACCCCAGTGCTTTTATTTGAACAAACTTGGTAGACACCCATTAGAAGATGTTTCATGCTAAATATCTTAGCTCTAGCTCTTTGGGTTCTTTAAAAGAAGATTTTTTTAAGTTTTTACTATATGCATATAGGGAAAATCAATGACCCCCTGGGGTGGGGCCAACTTTGACCCCAGGGCTTTTATTTGAACAAACTTGCTAGACATCCATTAGAAGATGTTTCATGCTAAATATCTTAGCTCTAGCTCTTTTGGTTCTTTAAAAGAAGATTTTTCTAAGTTTTTACTATATGTATATAGGGAAAATCAATGACCCCCTGGGGCGGGGCCAATTTTGACCCCAGGGCTTTTATTTGAACAAACTTGGTAGACATCCATTAGAAGATGTTTCATGCTAAATATCTTAGCTCTAGCTCTTTTGGTTCTTTAAAAGAAGATTTTTTAAGTTTTTACTATATGCATATAGGGAAAATCAATGACCCCCTGGGGCAGGGCCAATTTTGACCCCAGGGCTTTTATTTGAACAAACTTGGTAGACACCCATTAGAAGATGTTTCATGCTAAATATCTTAGCTCTAGCTCTTTGGGTTCTTTAAAAGAAGATTTTTTAAGTTTTTACTATATGCATATAGGGAAAATCAATGACCCCCTGGGGCGGGGCCAATTTTGACCCAAGGGCTTTTATTTGAACAAACTTGGT